GAGAGAGAGAGAGAGAGAGAGAGAGAGAGAGAGAGAGAGCGGTTGTGGACGGACAGTTCGTGTTCACCATTGGCCGATGCAAATAGTGGGGTGGCAAGACGAGAGACTCACGATCAACCCCTCTGATGATGTCCAATGTCTGTTCGCAACATTCCAATGGAAGACTGCGTAGGCGCATGTCACAGATAACTCGTGGTTGTACGCAGCTTGCCAAGATATGATACAAGTATTTAACAAATGAAACGAACGGCCTCCTTGGGCTCGGTTCCCACAAACGTCCATCACTATCAATCGTCTATCGTCTATCAATAAAGACGTCCCATCTTATCATGACGCTGTTTTACAATCTTCTTCTATTCCTCCTAGTCATATCCCTTTGAAGAGCCAAGTACTATGTTTGTGTCATACACAACGCGTATCGCGACTCGAAAATACGCTCCCAGTCCCATAGAACCTTATCAATTTTTACTTGAGAAAATGATCATTGAGCGTGCCTGTATTACGCTATGTAGCGTAATTTCCCCACTTATCTTCTAGCTCATATATCGTTCAGGCACACGGTATTGAATATTGAAAGCTCATTATATCGATCTTGCAAAGCAGTCTACCCGCTGCCACACGTAATTGAACCCCGCGATTATTCTCTTCCATTTCATCCAAGCATTGCAGTACTGTTCAATCCACTAAGAGAACTACGATGACTGAGTTTGATAGTACGGGACGGCCGTTGCGATTGTATTTTGAACATCTTCTAGGCGGAGATGTCCGCATTCTGCAATCAATCGGATTGTATTCAATGGGTAGTATTCTCACGCATCGTGAACCAAAATGGGCTTATTGGGAAGTAATACCTATTGCCCTCGTGATACCTGGATTATGTTTTGGCGTGGTTTGTAATATAAACAACATCATCAGACTTTTGAAAACTGATCACATGATGACAATTGAATTCGCTGCCACTACGCTCACCGCTGTATTAAGTACATTTAAAGTACGTGGAACTTCAATGAACTAGTGAAGAGAAAAGGAATAAAAACTATTGGTCTATCTAGGGTTGTCGATTATTCGTTCATCGACGAGAATTTTACTTCTTGATAAAGACATGCCACATTCATTGGAATGTTCAGGTGTCTCGCAATACACTAACACAAAGTATCGTGGAAATTGCGAGATTAGCCCGTTTGTTTAGGATTTATTATGGTACCGTGGTTATCATAGCTTTCTCAGCATTTGTAGTACAGCCATTGGGGTAAGTTCGACGCAAGACTTCCACTAGATGCGATGAGGGATTTTCATTAATTTTACGGTCATGGGAATGTTATGCTTAAATTGATCTGCGTTTAAGTCTCGTTTGTACATAACATTCATTCTAGGCTCTTCATGAAAAGATTTGTTAGTATTATCAATAACAACAGTTTCTTTCAGGGCATACATTCTGAACCCTCCGTCTAGATCGAATGAATCGATTGTGTTTACAAAAACTATCTATCCAGCTCGTTATCCTTTTACCTTAAATTCGAGTAGAGCATTCTTCATTTGTTTAGCCTTAGAAACGATAGGAATGTATTTTATGATGCTACATTGGATAGCAACGGATGGACTTTTCACCCAATTCACAACACATTTATCTCTTCATTTTCAAGTGACATTTTTATTTCTTCTGTTCTTGATTTTCCATGCTCGTTCGAGATCCATTATATCTTCTGTGGAAAAAACTGTTTGATGTGTTCGCAGATACTTTCGAATCAGATTCGTAGAATATGTCCTAGTACAACGATTTCGCCATCGAATTCAACTACAGTTTCGAAGCGCTTGAAAGCACTTATCGAAGAATATATAGAATTGTTTAAGTGAGTCTTACATTCTTATCTAATAGTCCTTTGCCAGTGATAAATCATCATTATTGCAATTTGGATGAATTTCAGATATGTCAGGTCGTTGGAAAAATTGTACAATCCAATAATATTCGCCACCGTTTTAGTCAACGCAATAATTCTTTGCACCTGTCTTTATAGTATACAATATGTATTTCAAATTCTTATCATCAGCTAAAATTTATTGTGTAAAGTGTTTTTTCTGTACCAACGATTCTTTTCTCTTGTAGAACAGTGCAAAGAATAATTGGGAGGATGTTGAAAAAAATCTGTTGCACGCATTAGGAGTATCTTTACAAACTTTGATGTTCTGTACTTGTGCTGAACGTTTGAACAATGAGGCAATTAGAGTCTTAATTCTAGTCTGATCATCATACACGACCCTACGACTTTGGTCACCTGCGCGGGGCATCGCTGCTGTGGTATTTAAGCTCCAGCGTTGCCGAATTATACACTGCTGGGGCACATTTAGCGAGTTTCCGGCAACGACGCGTAACGGGCAATTTCATTTAACGTGAAAAACAATAATTCATCTGTTGCAAGCAATTTGTTTTCTTTAACAATTTCGGGAATCATGTAGTTCTGAAAAATACTATAATTTTTTGGGCGCTTCAATCGAAGAAGTCAAATTTTTTTGAATTTTTCCGGCTACGCAGTCAATGGCAATTAGAGAAAAACACCCTAGTAAAAAAACATAAGGCAGAGGTGTAACATGCCTGATCAGAATTTCGGATCGGACTTGATCAGTTTCTGATCGAGACCTGAACAGAATTTCTACTCGGGCACGCTGCGGCGTTTACTTGATATGGTGACCAATCTAGGGTTAAAATTTTGCAGATGTTCACATCGATGAGAATCATTATTTATCGCATTCTCTTAGATTGCTGGAGTTCATCAAGCAGCTTATGATTGTCCATGGACTGCATTCAGTTCACCGATAAAATGTTCAATTCTAATGATGATGACATTGACACAACGGGAATATGTATACTCAGCGTACGGTTTCATTCATTTGAACATGCCTCAAGTTACCACGGTTCGTAGTGATTCAAATAATCATCGTACATTGCGGTACTAAGTCGTGAGGAACTTTTCTGGTACTGGGGTCGCAGGAAAAGCCTATGGCGAGTTTTGCAATTATATGAAGCAGAAAAGTTCTTTAAGGCCAAGTATTGAATGACACTTGTCAGGACGTCCGTAAGCGGTGTTTTACGGACCCGAAACGTACATCAATGTCGTCACCGAATACAGATTGAGTCACAAATCTTTCAATCTAATCCTTCGAGTTCTTACAAATTCTAGATCTTTACTGCGGCCATGAGATACTTCACACTATTGAGGAGTATTACTTAAGAACGTTCAACCGTTCTAGTAAACTATTTAGATGGAAATGAAAAAAATTTATGAATAAATCATCCAAGAGAGATATATTCATTTGTTAAGAAGCACAAAAATTACGGGAAGGGTTGATAAGTACTACAGAATTTGTAACTGGGGTGATAATTAAGGGCCTATTTCTCACCACTACCAAGGGATTATCTGAAAAAATTTCAATGTAGGAAATAATAACGAGGAATTATGGACAGCAAAGATGGAATAATCAGTATTAATTTCTTTCGCGAATCAATATTAATCGGGTATTTTCTTCCCGGTCCACATTTTACACACATATTGCTGTATCTGAATCTTACTGAATCCAAATCTTTATCCCTGGCTCAGGGCAAATACCCTTTGGAGCCAACATAATGATGAATACTAATGGACTGTATATGATGAACCTGTCGGAAAAAAATACATAATTTCCAAGCACTCAGGGCATTACTACTGGTGATGATTTGATTTATTTCCAACGAACAGTGGACGGATCGAGACCATCTACCATCTGCACAACGATTAACCATGAATGACTCAATGTCTCCCTGAAAATTGTTTTACTCAGGAAGATCAATTTTAAAGAGTTGCTGATTTAGTATTACTTTACAAATTGAAGAATACAGTCAATCTTATGAAAATAGGGATAGTGCCTTTAATAACCATCGAAATATTCTCCTTCGTAATCATAATTATAACCGTAGTAATCATCGTGATAATCCCTGAGTTCATCATCATCCTCTTCATCATCACCTTACGGTTCCACTTCTATAGTTAGAAGAGAATTATTTTCAATCTTATTCCAGTGTTTTCCCACATAGCTATTGACAGTCGTTCGAAGTCCAAGATTGTTAGTCCTTCCGGTAGTAATAATCGATCGCGTTGGCAAGAACTTCACCAGACATGCTGGTACCCTGCAAGTCAATATACTTCAAGTTCGGTCCATGCTTCATCAATTCGATGATTCCTTCATCGTAGACATCGATACAATCCACATATTGTAATTTCCTCAGACTATGCATTTTGCTGAGGGCCTGGTTTGTGACTGCAGGAAGATTCGACAGAATAAGCTCTTCAAGATGAATCCTTTTTGATAATTCGTCACTCTATAATCGCAGATATTGAAGATGTCACTGATATTCAGATATTTCAGGTTTTTATTATTCCCTGATAACTGAATTAGGAAATTGTTGTTGATCAGATTGTAGAGTCCTCGGAGATTGAGATGCTCGAGATTCGTAAGGAGATTGAAGTGAGGCAGATCATCCTTCAGGCTACAGCTATCTGGTGACAGGAAAGTGAGATCAGACTTCTCACTGATGGCCTACATCACATCAGTCTCCACGGAGAAAAATTTCAAGGTGAGAGCTTTCAACTTCTGGCGATTCTGTAATGCCTAGGGACAAGAAACAGATTGATCAAAATCATTTTTTTTTATTTGTCAAAAAATTTCAATGGATTGAAAAAGAAAAAATAATTCCGTTGGAAAGCTGAGAATTTTTATGAGAATCCGCGGATTTTTCGAAATGTCTATAAAATATGATATAATCCCTGGTTTTTGCAGAAAACCAGTGAATTTTCTGAACTATTCTAACGGATTCTACAAGTCTCCGAAAAGTCCTAGAAGTTTCTACATTTCATATTGCAATATACAATACAGTACAATACTTTCTTTTTCAACGTTTCATTATTTTCATATACAATACCACACGAGCTTCAAAGCTATCGGGTATTTTTCGATTAGTCCATTTGTATGATGGGAACCTTAGCGAACATACTCGATTAAAATGCTTTGTTCGAAGAAGATGAACAATGACATTCATCTAGAGTTCATATAAGATGTTTATAACCAAAGATGAATTATCTATGAATTTAATTTCAATTAACAATTCAACGTCGCCTGGTTAATTCCATCCATTTCATTTTCTGAAAACACATCCCAATGAAGGAAACTAATGCTCACAGTAACAAATTTCTCACAGTCAAAAATCTGAGCCAGAGAGGTGAAGTTCAGTCAAAGTCTCATAAGGTGGCGTGAGAAAAAAGTCTTCAGTGAGCCAAAATGTCATGCTTATCTCCAGATACGTGAGTTTCTACATTTGTAGAAGTAAACGGACATAGTTCATATTATAGACCTCGAAATTAATCGTCAGTCTTTTTAAATTCTAGTAGTGTTGATCAACAATTGGCAGAATATTGGACGAGTAAGGAGAATTGGGCTCCAGATCGTTCAAGTAACGGCCCGATCTGATCTAGCGCATTTCGTCATTGGGTCGAAGCGAGGTTAAAATCGCGGTTTATTGGGCCTAGTGACAAAAATTTGATTATCCTAATCCTCCATTTCAAGTCCTAATATTTAATTACGATAACCCCTCAAATAAATAATCTTCCTTCAGGTAATTCTATTTTCATACCGTTTAATCATATATAATAAAATCTCAGGTTACAGTACATATGATAATGTAGCAGTGAAATAGAAAAAAAAATTCAAAGCATATAAATATTATTTTTTATTCAACTGTTACACGCAATACAATTACTTTTGCATGGTATTGGACCATCAATCTCTGTATATATAATCTGTATATAATTTAGCTATTTAATCTAATTATAAAAAGGAGAAACTTCACGTTCTAAGTGTAACACCGGAACGTTTTCATAAAAGAACATGAACATATGACGCAATACAGCCTCGCAGTGTTTCCGCAGCCAAACAAAAATACATGACCGTGTATGTTCTATGCAGTTCATGATATGCAGTAGCAAATGCGCTGTTTGAAATTTCGACTCTGAAATGAGTGGTACAATTTTTCTCAAATTTTTCCGATCAACCAGTCGATGGCAAGGTAAATAAAACGACGTGTTGCGGCAATTCCCTCGCATGGTGACCAGTCTAGGGTTAAAAACCCAGACCTTAATTCAGTGGCGCTGGAGTTTGGTCCGCCGTTTACAAGAATCATCCAAGAACCGAAACTTTTGATTTGACGTCCCTCGTGTCTTTGATTTCTATCCATCAAAATTGACGGCTTCGGCAGTGGATTCAATGCTTTACGTCATTGAATTACAAGCCTTTCGTGTAAAAAAAAGTTACTGCTAAAAGAATTCCAAAGGAATCGTTTTAGACTTCCAATGGAACATTCCATGGAATTGCTGAAAAGGAGACAAACGCAAATTATGAGAAATTTTCGGAAAAATTTCAAAAAATATCTCATATCCCAGGATTGATGGGTGTTGGAGGTAAATGCTTCGGAGACTCCTCTCAAGGAACCTCTCATGTTGAGGGTAACACATTCTACGTCTGAGCTTAAGTAATTCCATTAGATGAATTACAATCAACAAGTTATCTCTGATTCTACTCTGTATTTTGGATCTATGAATGCACTACCCTATGATGTTTCATCAGGTCATCGAATAGATTGTCATGATAATTCTTCAAGAAGTTTAAGCGATTCTAGACTGCTCAAAGCAGCCGAATACCCAAAGTAGTCAACTCGAGTAATTCCAACGAGCAAAAAGTGCACCAAGTAACATAACCTCATCGAAACATCTATTCTACAGGAAGTCTTAGGTAGTTTAAATGTCATAATCTATGTAAAAATGAATCTGACGGGCCTCGGTGATGATCGAGCTTCTATGGTTACATGATACTTCGTGTAGAATAGATATTTTACTCGAAATGTTCTACCTGTTGCACTTGCTACCATTTGCTACCATTGCTACCTGAAGGTCATCGAGATGACTCAATCCAGCATTCGGCTGCGTTGAGCCGTAAAATTTCGCTCAAACTTCTGGAAGAATCACCATGACAATACTCTGAATAATCTGGTGAAACATGCCTGACGTAGCGCATTATCCCGAGTCGAATAATTGGACTTGACGAATTCTACTTAGGTCTTTCCGTACAGAACTGGATAGGTCCTGGGAAGCCTCTTCCCGAGTGCTTCCGAGACTTTTCTACCTCTGGTTGTCCCATTTTTAGCACTCGTTAGGTGAAACCAGGGCTTGCATTTAGACCTTCCAAATCCTTGCCGATCTCCTTAATTCTATAGGCCTATGAAATCCTCTCCTTTTTTCTTACGAGACCGAACGCGCGCTATAGCGCGCTGTAATTGTAACAATCATAATTGAAAATCTCAAAATTAAATTAACTATGAATTAAATTTGCCGCCTCAGACAAAGTGAAACACTTCCAGGTGTTTTTTTAAAATCCGGGTTCATCTCCGGTTCATCTCGGTATTCCTCTTTACGCATGCGTTATTAAAATAAAAAAATGCAATTGTTAAATTTATTTTTTAAATCTCGAAAATCGACATTTCACGAGGGGGTAGAGGCGAGACGCATGTATGTGGAGGCTTGACATTTTTACCCAACAAGGGGAGAAGGTTGCAAAATTTATTCGTTGTCTACATAAAAAATGAAATTGTTAAAAAATCTGACCCTTGAGCCAGGTGAAAATGAAAATTTTTTACTTCATTTCTGATGCCTCCAAGGATTTCATTAGCATCAGAATCGTCAGTAGATACAGAACCAACCTTCACTTGGCGGAAAAATTCCATTTTGGCGAAAGTCGACTTTCCCCCCGGCAAAAACCCAACATCTGACACTTTGGCGCCGGGTGAAAAAAAAAATTTTTTGTCTTTTCTGTCGCCTCCGAGGGTTTCATTGGCATTTGGGGGGGGGGGTCGATAAATACAGAATTGTGACATACATGGAATTTGTATCACAGAAATTGAAAACCTACTTGAATAAATATGTTTTATTGTATTTGAAAACATGAGACTTCAACTTTTATACTTTTTTTTTTGAAAATGTTATGTACTTTGAGATGGAGTCCATATTACCCACTCCAGAATTCAGGTGCGGGGCAAAATTCCACCGGATCGAAATCCTATCGAAAGTAGCGATGATCAGGTTGTTGTAGGGCTGCCACGAGATTGTGGAAAGTCTCGTCTCGGTCTCGTTGATATTCAAAATTCTTGGTATCGTCTCGGTCTCGCTGCAGTATCGGTCTAACTCGGTCTCGTCTCTTCGTCTCTGTCTCGCGTGAGTCTCGGAACTTTATGCTTAGTCTCGTCTCGTCTCGTCGGTCTCGCTCAATTAAGAGAAAAACAAATTTTTTCCACCTCTCAATCCTGTATTCCCAGTTTAAGACCGCAAAAGTCAAGCATCGCAATGATCATGTCTCGCAAAGGTCATGCCTCGCGAGGATCAAACGTTGGAAGGGCGATGCGTCGTGATGGTCAGAGGTCGCAAAAATCATAC